TTTTTCATGTGCATGAATGTGCTTAATGTTTAGGAATATTGTATAAAACACATATATATTTGAGAATTAAAAAGTCCACAAAATAACATGAGTAATAGTAATTTAAACTTGTATATTGGTAATAAGACTATCATTCATGCAACCCAATCCTAAATAATACTACCGTTACACAATTTTAAATAAAAATAAAACAACATGCAAACCTCGCAACAAATAGTTTAGACAAGTTAAAGACCAAAAAAAAAAAAACATAACATTGAAAATCATGTTAAACAATATAAATCATGTTTCCACTAATCAATAGCAATAAAAAATGTATAAATATACTTGGTAAACTTACCATAAGTCAAGAAGTTGGTCACCAATTTCAGGAGAACCATCTTTGAAGAATTCTATAGTTATATAGCCTTTTGATGTATTTAGAACCTACAAAAAAGAAATGTTTAAACTAAACAAAATGGTATAAGCAAAACAAATAAATAGGATTTATGCAATTACATCATTGGAGAAACTTACAGCATATTTAAGAATATCGTACTTCTTTGAATCCATAACTTCATTAAGATATTGAATCAAAAGACAAAAATATTTGGTACTTTAACAAAATACCCATCATCTAACATCATGTTTAGTAGGAAGAAAAAAACAAAGTGAAGGTAAAAAATACCTCAAATTTTGACAACTCAATTCCTATTTGCTTCATTAACCTGCTACAATTAACAATGGAAATCAATTTCCAACAAATTAATTTTCAGATGAATTAATAGAGTTGAAAAAGAAAGAAGAAGCAAACATGGATAAATTAAGAAATAAGCAAGCAAAGGAAACAAAAAAACTAAGAAATTGTTATACATCTTTGAGCAAGAAGATTCTAGCAAATCGCCTCTTGTCTATGAAAGACAACTCCATGCCATCATCTAGTTTCAAAAAATCATTCCAATGAAGATAAATCATCATAAATAAAACCTTAACAATTTCATTAAGGTATAGAAAAACTTCATTGCTACTTTTAGATGCACTAGTTTTTAGCCACGTGCTATGCATGCTATAGTAAATTAAAATATAACATCACAATAATTTAATTTTAATATTTGTAATTATGATGGTAAATAAAATTTAAAATTCAAAAAATATATATATATATATAAACTGAGTAAGAAGTTGTATAAAAAAATAAACATCTAATCTTTCTTTATTTTGATCTTTCTATTGAGAAACTTTTTCTTGAAGTCTTTTAGTGTAAGGTTATCGTCTACATCTTTATCTTTCTTTAGAGAATCATCTTCTATTATAATCAAATTGGATTGAACATTTTCATTTTTTTCTGCCTTTTGTTTTTTCACGAGCTTTCTTTTTCTTTTCTTTGTTGGTAAATCTTTATCTTCAATTGTATGTATTTCTGAAGCAATCAATTGTCGTTTAACCCGTTCAAGCTCTTGGTTTTTATCTATTTGCACTGAGAATTTAAATTCCTGATTGAGACTTGAAACTATATTATTATAATAATCAGGTTCTCCTCTATTCTTTGTTGCTTCCTACAATTAAATAATAATAATGTTGTAAATAATATTTCATATTATACTAAATTAAATTACATTTATGTAAATAATAATTCATTACCTTATCATTCAAGTAGTTGAGATATTTTGAAACTTCACAACCAATGAAAGTTTCTGTTGCTTGAAATAAAGTGAGTATAATACTTTCCTTTCCATCACTAATCTCCAATTTTAACATGTACCTATTAACATGATATAAATTAGTTTGAAATTCCATTTGATTAGAATAAAAAATGCATACTTATTTTATGTATATAAATGCTATTATAATGAAATTTCTTACCTCGGTCCAAAATTTGTAGTGAATTTTAAGCATTTTTTGCACCATGCTTGGTTGATGTCTTTATCAATTTCTACCTTCCCCTTGCATTCTTTACAAGCATCATACCAAGGTTTTTCTTTATTGGTAATATTCATTACAGTTGCTTTGAATGAATATACTATATTCTACAAAATTAAAGAAAATTAATTTTTTTATAGTATTTCAACAATAATAAATTAATAGAAGTGAATATTATAAACCTTTGTATTTGCAAATGATGGATGAATGATTTTTTCCAAAGTGACTTCCAATTCTTCCATTTTTTTCTCAGGCAATTGAGTATGATATCACATTGTGACTTTCGTAATCAGATATCCTAATAAATAAATTAATTAATATAAAATAATTTTTATTTCCAAAAATATTTGAGTGGCAATGTATTTAAAGAAAATAAAGAATTTACCACTTTCTTAATTCCTTTGCCTTTTTTATTGTAGGATTAATGACGATGGAAGATATTGTGAATGTATTTAGTTGATAAACACCTGAAAAATATACAATTAGTAAATGATAAGTTAAAAAAAAAACTATTTGAAAATTTGACCAAGTTTATAAATAGTAAATAATAAGTTTAAAAAATTTAAGCAAGTTTTAGCCAAGATAAAATATAATTTTAAAATATATCAATTACCTTGATATGTGTTTCCTTGTACATTTAATAATGCAATAATTGGTCTTTTTTCTTTTATGTCTTCAAGTAATTGACCTTCAATTTCAGCCAAACTTCCCCACAATAGTACTTCAATGGGTTTCATCCTGCAATTATATATATATAGATATACATAATGATCTTTATTAAATAAGTTTCAAATGATGAAAATATATAAAATAACTATAGTAATAATATATACTTATTTATCATTCATTATTGTTATTTGACTCCTAGCATTGCATCCCATAATACAAGATTTGACTTCAATAACAAAGCTCAATGTGTCTGTAATTAACATATATTAATGTTAATAAATAAATTAAACATATATTTATTTTAATAAATTCATATAAAATGAAGAAAACTTACCAAATATTTCTCCTTTTGGGATTTCCATCACTTTATCCACTGGATGATAATCAAGTAACATTTTTTCCAAACTTATAGGAGTTTCTGCTTATCTTATGTTGGTATAAGATGTAATTGTTAACTCAATCTCTTTGTTAACATTAAAATATTCTTTCTTAATAGATTTAACAAATGCATTTGATATTATATATGATTTGTCTTTCATTAAAGAGAATTGAAATTTTGTTCTTGTCTCATTAAACATCATAGCTGAAAATTTGTTCCCTGCAATTCATAAATAAGATTAAATTCATAATTTATACTAAAATATTCAAATGTTATATCAAAATTATATTAAAAAAGAACTAAAGATTTTTACCTCTTTATCAATGAAGATCAATTTTAAAAGCTTTCCTGATCCTTGTGCATTATTGTACACTTCTGTATTTCTTTTTCTAAGTACTGCAACTTTTATCATCCGCTACTTGTTTTCCACATTCAATTGATTTATTTTTGAATATTGAGTAGCCATTATGTTTGTACTGTAAGGAATGATAATGAATTTATAGCAAATTTTAATTATTTTTCTCGTTGGTTAACATGGAAATGGATGAAAACCTTCCCAAATCCCAACCTTAGCACATTATGTGACCAAGTTAACAATACTAATAATATCAATACCATAAGAAGCAAAAACATGTGAATTGAAAGTACAGGAAAATAATAAAATATGTCTACTTACCTCTTTTCTTCCATTGTGATGAAAATTTGAAGCTACAATGACAAAATAAATAATAAATAGTTAGATTGTTTGAATGATTATAAAATTAATTTTTAAAAGTTTTATGAAGAAATATTGAAGTTTATATAATGAAAGAAATACCTATGCATTTGATAACATTATGGAATAATACGTTTAGCTTTATAGTTTTTACGCTAAAACATAGAGACTTTGATATCTATTAAAGTTCTTTGAATGAATTATTTTGTTTAACTAAACTTTGTTTCTAAGTTAAATAATAATCCGAAACAAAAGTGAAACATTAAAAGAATTGAAGTCTAGTAAAAGTAGGAATTGTGACTTTAATATTATATATATATTACCTCACGGCATAATAAATAAGATATATAATTATTTTACTATATTTCCTTATGGCTAAATACAAAAGATGTGATTATTACCTGTAGTGATAAAGTATATTTTTAATATTAAATTTAAGATATTATTAATTTGATCAGATTAATTTCAAGTTTAAATTATTTTTAAGTTTAAATTTTTTTAAATTTATATAAATTTATATTTAAAAATTTTATTTTTTATTCATTGAAATGTTTAGATAAATTCAAAATTGGGATTTTGGAACAAAATTCAGGCTTGAATTTTTTTTAATAGTTGGAGCTAAGAAAGATTAAATTTTAATCATTTAAAGTAAAAAAAAAAAAAAGTCTATTACTTTATCATTTTTATCTTACCTTGCTCTTTCTAAAGCCTTTCACTTTTAGAATCTATTTAATTAAATAATAACACTAATAATTAGAATTTGGCCATTTTCTTACCGGTTTCCACCTTCAAGACATTATCTTTTTGGGTCTCTGGCATGTCTCATGGTATCCTTTCTCTTCCTCTCTCTGAAACTCCTCATTTTTTTTTGATAAACCATTAAAAAGCTTTTCCTTTCTTTTGATTTTGTACTTTGAACTTCGTTTTCTGTTAAATTTTTGAAGATTTTCTCTGCATTTCCATTTCTTCAGGTACTGCCCATGGTTCTATCTTTTTTTTTTTTTTTACATCTTTGTTTTCAATGCCCGTCTCTTCTCCGTCCTCTGCTATGAATGCATGATTCATGAATTTGACCCTTACTTCAACTACCGAACCACTCTTTACCTTACCCAAAATGGCTTCTACAATTTCTGGAACTGGTTCGACTATGAAAGTTAGTACCTTTTAGGTCGAATCATCAGCGGAACCCTTTATCCTGGGGTCATGGTAACCGCCGACCTCATTTATCACCTTCTTCATTTCCTTCGTTTCGCCGTCCATATTCGTTAAGTATTCTCTTCAAATCTATTCATATTGTAGGGGTTTCTCCTGTGGTAGCCTATAATTCCATTAATCTAAATGGAAATCAAACGGGACAAATCCTCAAACTTGCTTCCTTTATTAGATAGGCACAAAGTTATTGTTTATGATACACCTGTTTGTGTCTTTACCAACATATTTATTGTTTCTTCTTCACCAGGAAAGATGCAAGTGAAGCTGATGGATAATACAATGATAACTTCATCATGCAGCATGATCTTCTAAGAGAGCTGGCTATCTATCTGAGCAGCTTGGACCCTGTTGAAAAAAGAAAGAGGATAATTGTAGAACTAAGCAGCAATAATTTTCCCAATTGGTGGTTGGAAGAAAAGCAACCACCTCTTGTCTATTTCCACAGGTTGTTATCTGTACCTCTCCAACCTTCAGACACATACACACAAATTAAGAAATTTACTCATACCGCTAACTTCTTTAAGCCGTTTAATCACGATGAAACATTCTCATTCAATTGGGGCAGCATTCAAGCCCCAGAAGTTGAGGTTCTAGTTCTCAATTTTCGGACAAAGAACTACACCTTGCCTGTCTTCATGGAGAAAATGGAGAAATTGAAGATTTTGATAGTCATGAATAATGGTATCTACCCACCGAATTAAGTAACTTTCCACTTGGTTATGTGTACTATTGGTCAGGCTTTTAAGAATGGTACTAACAGGATCTTAGATATTTTTCCAAATCTTTTGGAAATTGACATTGACTATTGTGATGATCTGGTGGAACTGACTGATGGGTTGTGTGATCTTGTTCAACTGATGAAGCTTAGTATCACCAACTGTCATAAGCTTCGTGCATTGCCTGAAGGCATTGGAAAGCTGGTAAACTTGAAAGTGCTAAGACTAACATCCTGTACTGACCTCAAGACATTGCCCGAGACCATTGGGAGCTTATCCCAGCTTACTGTTAACATTTCCGACTTTCTAAGCATCATCAACATGCCAATCCAGATTGGTGAACTGCACAAACTAAGCAAGCTCTGTATGAGGGGGTGCTCCAGCTGTAACCTACCTTCAACAATCAAAAAGCTTCAACATTTGAAGGATGTCATCTGTGATGAGGAGACAGCCTATCAATGGTATTCTTTCAATTGTGATCTCACCAATCTAAAGGTAAAAGTTCACGAGGAAGATATCAACTTAAATTGGCTTCAGACATGTTTATAAGTTCCCTTTTTTCTCATATACTGTATAAGCTCCCTTTATTTTCATGTATAAAGCTTCATTTTATGAACATAATGGACTCAATGGACCAGGGCAATTTGAGACCAGCGTTGTTACAGTCTTTCTCTCTGATACTTTACCAGGCACTCCACATAAATTCTCTGCAACCATGTCTTCACACTTTGATATGCCCGAAATAAGTCCACCATTAATGCAGAGAAGCTGTATTCTTCCTATTACATTGCATAGACTATCTTCCGGCTGCTATAAATACCAAGCTCAGATTCGGAATCGAGGTCATCCGTGTCCTCATCATCAAGGTTTTCTACGATGTAATGGTTTAAGCCATGGGCTTCCAGCAGCTGGAATGGTGGCCCCAGCAATTATCAGCATGATCGTATCTGTCAGCTGGAAGGTTTTTTGCTTGGAATATGACCCTTGCTGCTTATTTATTTGGGAAAGAAATTTGGGACTTCGGCGCTGGACTTGTTGCTGCAATGGAACTTTCAAGTTAACCAAGCAAAACCCAGTTTTTCTTTTCTCTTTTTCTTGTATTATATGAATGATTTTCTATTAAACCATTAATCCTGCTTCTTGAAATACAGGAACATTGAATGCTCCTTTCACCTAAAAGGATGAGCTAAATTTCTCTTGAATCTCTCTGTTGATTTGGCTTTCTGGCCTATAAAAGGTTAGTTCTTTCTCCAAGTCTTTGACATGTTATCTGTATTTTTATAATTGAAAAAAAAAATAGAGCATACTATGCTTTGATTGACTTAAATACATGGAGGTTTAATTTGATTATTGATGTTGGTTGAAGTTTAAGTTTTAAAAGCTTTTGTGTTTTACAAAAGCAAATGAAGGAAGTTTAGAAATGGAGTGTTCAACTTTATGTTAAAATAGCACATAGGATAACTGTGACAAGTGAAGGAACAGAGTCTCCAAGAACTGTGACACATAATGTACTTAGGTTTTTACACTTACAAATTTTAAGACAGGAAATGAAAATAAATATAATTTCAGTTGAACCCTCAACGCCAAATGTCAAGGTCTCACTGGTTAATAGCTAGCTTAATTGCTAATTAGTATTTATTGCAAACATAAATTAACTGTGGTTTGTTTATCAGTTCTTCCTGCTAACGTCTACTTCTGCTGTTCTTGCATTTTTTTATCAAACTCCTGGACTTGATATTTGCTCTGAAACATTTGTTAGTAATGCCCTTAGAAGAGGTATCGCGGGTGGTTAGAAGAAAAGGTCGACTACAGGTAGTGAATTTGGTGTATGTAAATAACAAAGTTTACCAAAATAATGCTCTGCAGTAAGATGCATCCGCATGCTAGGCCAAGGGATTTAACCCTAAATCGATAAATGCTAAATCTTGGGTGAGTTCTGATTTCAACTTCTTCAAATTATTCAGGGGAGATTGTTATAGGTCCCATAAAAACTTTGTTTATGAATGAGATGGCAAATGGACTTGACAATTCCATAGCATTTCAGATTGTTGCTTGTCTTCAGCAGCTGTGCATATGACAGATGCTACTTTGTTGGTTTCACTGCTGCAACCTGCACCTGAAACTTTTGATCTCTTTCATGATATTATGCTTGATGGCAGAAGGGAAAATCTTGAATCATGGACTGCGCTATCACATTCTTGAATTTTTTGAAAACTGTGGGTTTAGGTGTCCTCAGAGGAAAGCAGTGGTGAACTTCATTCAGGAGGAAAGTGAAATTCTATTTGCGATCACATTCATTTTCCTGTAGTACAGTCTCTTGGTTATTCAACTTAAAATTATTTTGCCTTTGGACTTTGCAGGTTTTATCCAAGAAAGATCAAGCACAATATTGGTACAGCATTGAGCTACCCTACTCTTATTTTTCCGTTGATATGTTCTCCAGGAAATTTAAAGCATTCCCTTGGGGAAGAAGATAGATGAGGACCTTGTTCTCTCCACGTAATCTCTTTAATTTACTTCTTTTAATCTCATCAATCAGTTTTTGTGCTCAACAGTTTCAAGATTCAAGAACATATATATATGATATGTATAGTTTTTTTCTTTTGGTTTTTACTTTGATGTTTGGTTCATAGGTTTTTTGTTGTTTCTATCATTTCTTCTTTCTCTTTGCCTGTTTGTAAAACATATTGAACAGATTAGCTCGCTGCATCTACTCCAGACAATAGATGGTCAAGTATACCTTAATAAAAAATAACGTTTGTCAAATGTCTTGGGTAAGAATACAAATAAAACAGTTATAAATATTAAAAAAAATGTTTTGTTTCATTATGTTTCTGAAAGTAAAACTTCCTTGTAAACCACATTTTTTGTGTATGTCTCATTTTCTTTTATAGAATTCTCAGTTTTGACTAAAACTTTTGTTGTAGCCATTGAGATTCCTCTAGATAATGCAACATACAATTGACCATGTGAAAAAACATGATTAGGCAGATAAACTCCAACATGTGGTATCGTTTGCCCTTGTGCTTTATTCACTGTCATCGCAAAACAAAGTCGTATTGGAAATTGTTTGCGTATGAATTTAAATGGATAATCTTTATCTTCTGTTGGTTTAAGAGGAATTCTTGGCAGAAGAACTTTTTCACCTGTATGTTGTCCAGTTGTAATTTCTGCATATATGACATTTTTGTCAAATCCTTTACAGACCATCCTTGTCCCATTGCACAACCCGATCGAAGGATTCAAATTTCCTGGCAGCATAATTGGGCAATTCACTTTGAGTTCCAACTTATGGTGTGGAAGTCCATTTGGTGAGAGTGTATTCAAAAACTCCTCTTCATAGCAATTATTATTTTCATCTTCTGCTTTATCAAAACTATAGAAAATTCTGCTTTCACCTGCAAATATATAATCAAAATTAGTCATATATCATCTATAAATATCAATATGGCAACATTAACAATTATTTAACTTTTATTGATATTGATACCTGGGAATATTTTATCATTTTTTCATTGAGTTCATCAACATAATTATTCTTTGTTGCAAGAATTGCACGTCCATCATATATTTTTTAGACCTGGCATTCTCTGTAAGAAAAGGAAAGATGCTGTCAATCAGCTTTCTATCGGAAATCTCATCATTCTCGTATTTTATCACCATTTCCTTTGGAAGAAGAATTAAGTCATTACTTATTGTAGGTTCAACGCCATTTCCTGCTCGAAGCAAAAACCCACTGAAGCCATCATCTAATCTTGCTCTCATATTTCTTGTCAATTTCAATTTTTCTATCTTACTCCACAAATAAGACTTTGCAAAACTAACATTAACTGTTTCTGCTCTTGTACCATGAGGAACAACAGGTAACACTTGACGAAAATCTCCTCCAAAAACAATTACTTTTCCTCCAAAAATTTCTGTGCTATCCATGATATCTCTTAATCTTCAATCAACAGTTTCAATGGCAAATCTTTTAGCCATAGGTGCTTCATCCCATATGATTAGGGATGCCCTTCGTTTCAACTCTGCAGTCCCATCTTGTTTTGAGAAACCACAAAAATCTGTTTCATTAGGATTTAATGGTAAAACAATCGTGAATGTGCTGTTCGACCCCAGGTAGTGTTGCAGCTGCTACACCAGATGTTGCTGTAGCTAATGCTATCATATGTCTTGATCTTACTTGTGCAAGTAAGGCTTGATAAAGAAATGTTTTACCTGTACCACCAGGTCCATCAATAAAAAAAGCTCCACTTCTTGAATAAATCCTTTCCCTTATAATTGTGAATGCTTTCTCTTGTTCAGGATTTAATTTTGTTTCTGCATCATAATCTTCAGGATGAATTTGTATTGATTCTTCTTCTATTATTTGTCGACAATTTGGTCCTTTGCCTTCCATTGGATCAATATGTAAAGAAGGTAAATCATAATCACAAATTGTTTTGTTCCCCGTACCATCATAACATAATAAATTTTAGCACAATGTCATTAGAAAAATTTTCACCTTAGATCATAAATAATGGTCAGAAATTTTGTAGAATTTTATATGAGTATTCAAGGAATACTACTATTCGAATCTTCTTGTATAAGAAATAATTAGAAACTTTTTGATCATTGGTATATCTATTTGTTGTTATGTTATTCTAAAGATATTTCCGCAAGCATAAAGTGGCGAGCTTGTCTGATCTAACTCTACAAATACAAAAAAACACTTATCATGTCTTTTTCAAACTATTCAAATGAATTATGGATCACTTTTTTTTTGTCTTTTTCCATTACTTATTAAATTTCTTAATGTCTTACGATATTCCATTTATATAAAATCAAATGCCCCATAATCGTATCCTAAAGTTTATAAAAAAAAGAAGTATAAAAATTAAACGGCATCATATAAGCAAAATTTAAAATGAAAGTAAAATAATTTAATAGAGGAAAAATTATTAGCATATACCTTCTAAAAAATAATTGATACTTGTCGATGTATCTGATACTATTGCGAAGATTGCATTTTTATGAATCCTTTTGAAATCTTCAGACATTGCTTCAAAATATCTATCCCAAAGTTTCCTTACATTTGTAGGTTCACAATGGTATAACATTATAGCAAACAATTTTTGAAGTGCTTTTGGCATTTGATATGTCGTTGCTTCAGTCAAACACTCTGTGATACTTTCATCTGATTCCAAAAGACCTCTTTTTTATGCTGCTTCTTTGAATGACAAATAACTTATTCCAGCAATTGTTAATAAATCATCAAAAGAAGTAGGCCCTTTAACATGATTCAATAAAAGTCTCAGATAAAATCTTTCACCTTCTTTTGGATTTGCACTATTTATGCGGCCAATCACAGTTTTGTTTTGTCTTTTTATCCATATTTGATTTTGCCTGTTCCACAAATAATACTCAGGAAATTCTCTATACAAATACTTTCTTGTATTCCTTTTATTAGCACATGTTTCAAAATATTCTGTCAACATTGTTCTTGACACATGATCCCAATACAACACATTTTGTAAATTTTGATTTTCCTAATAATACACAACTTGTTGGTTTGGAAGATGTAACTGCAAGTTTATGACTGGAGGAGACATTTCATTCAACTCAAACTGAAAAATTCTCCATATAGCCTCTTGAAGGAGATACCCATCTTGCATCTTGAAATTACTTTATTTCATCAATGACATTATCCCCGTCATCTTGTGCAATATAAACAGCAACTTTGTCATGCCCTTTATATATATACTTATAAAGGTACTTGACTGCCTTCACTCCTGAACATATCTCAACATTTATGTGACAATTATATCTTGTCAAAAATATGGATTATATGGTACAATCCATCTGTTGTCAACAATTTTGTTCTTTATCTTCACCTACGAACCATTTGCTCTTCTTCTATATATTGGATATCCATCTTTTCCTTGCAGTGTCAGTGAACAAAAAGCTCTAGGATAGTGAAACTTGCATTTATCATCAACTATGCATGATTTGATAGGTCCGTATTTTCACAAGGGCCATGTATCATGTTTTTCACAACCAATTCATGCAGCTCTGGATAAAGTTCTTTATCTGGCAATTCAGCACAAGCATATCTATCAAATTGATCTTCAGATAAAATCTTGTTTCCTTCTTCTAATATGATTAATATACGGGCATGGGGAAGTCCTCTTTTTTGAAATTCAATAACATAGACACGTGCTGCAACTTTTCCGAATATTTCTTTCTTGAAAATTTGATCTTTGAGATCTTGCAATTTAGTACGAAATATTCTGGAAGTCAGATCTGGTCTATCTTGAGCAAGTTGACCTTCTTTGAGCTCATTTATAATTTCCTTCCATTCTGGATTATATGTCATAGTCATAAAAAGATCTGGCTTTCCAAATCGTTGGACCAAAGTCATTGCATCATAGTCTCTACGCCGCATGTCTCTAGGGCCACTAATAAAAGTTGCAGGAAGAACTATCCTCTTTCCCACTTGGCTTCCTCTTACTTCTCCGGCTATTACACTATCAACAATTCCTTGATACAATTCAGATCAAATATTTGATTGCTTTATCCTGTAAAAATCAAGCCTTGATGTTTCAATTTTAATATACATATCTACGAAAATTGTTGAAACAATTGCCTAGCCAAAAGGTATATAGTTATTGTTGTTTCAAACTCTCTGATTTGGAATTTGAAACAATAATATTCCCTTATTGACATATTTCTACTCTTTTCTGCAACAATTCCTGAAGTAATAAATAAATTTTAGAGTTTACTATTTTAACTACCAATTTAACAATAAAACATAAGATTATTATAGGAAATAAAATATCAATAAGTTAAAGCAATGCTAAAAACTTGTACAAATGCTAAAGTAACTAAAAGACTAATGCTACGAGTCTTTAACATAAAACTAACATTAATCAAGTATATAAAAATAAAAAATTAACAAAGTATGATTAGATATTATAAAATAAAAAAATAGAATCTTTGTCATAGGAAGCTAATATTTATTAAGGATTTAATTGAATGAATAGTGCATGTATTTTTTTACTGATTAGCAAAGTACAATTTTATATAAGAAAGTGAAAATTTTAAAAATGATTTGCTAACAATGAAAGTAACAAATTCTAGATAAAAATTTTACTATATATGATATGATAAAAGTAATGAGAAATAAATAACATTTAAAAAATTAAACTTATAATAATTTTAAAAATATTAAGTTCATGATAATTACCTTAACATTATCTTTCAAAAATTTCTTCTGCTAAATGAAAAGATGATCTATTTCCAATTGTTGCTTCATTCTCATTAGCATTATTCAAAATAACTTTATTAATATTTTGATGCCAACCAACTTCTCCATTTGGAAAGAGTAAAGGATACTGTAAGGGATCATAACAACCGAAATAATGTTTAACTCTTATGTCGTCTTCCTGAATAAGCATGAACTATGATATCTCTTTCAAATGGAATGTTTGAGTTGTTTCCTTCAACCCATATAGCAGCAACTTGATCAGCAGATGGATGATTATAAACTCGTTGATCTAGATTAGCATTTGCCGCAATACGAATTTCAAAATCCTCAAAAGAAGATATATCCTTTAATCTTCGTAAGACTTGGGCATAAGGATTTTCTTCTAAAATTTTATTAGCATCTCCACAACTTTTGCACTTAAGTTTTCATTATGTTGTGTCTTCATTCTATTTTGAAGTTCATTACCAGTATCATAGAAATACAGCTAAAAATAACATGGAGTATTTTCTTCTTGAACTAATGCTGGAATATCATGACATATTTGCCCTTGTGCTCGAAAAGTGTAAATACCTTGTCTTGAAGATGCAAGATCCTTATCTAACCTAACTCCAAATGATGTGAATGAGAACATACTATTGTAAGATCTAATGTGCTTTCGAAATTCAATGGTTTCTTCAGTTTGAGATACAAAAAGATACTATAATTGTTCTGGAACAGGAGTGGTAGCTAATTTCACTTGACCAGTTTGACAACAAAATGATGGAGGCTCATATTCAAACTTTTTAGCACCACAATAATTACAACATGAAATATTCTTCAATTGATGTAATGGAGAAAATGAAGGAGTATACAATGTTTCCACTGATAAAATAGTTTCATATTAATTCTAAAGAAAATTGAAATAAATACAATTGTATTTTTTCATTTAAAAATCTTATAAAACTAACCTTGTTTGTCATATGGAGAAGATAGAGCTATGTATAACCAGTCATTCTTTCGTCTTTTTTTTTTGCTTAGGATAATCCTCCATTGATGCTTTCATTGATTGAAGGTAATTGCATGTTCTATTAATTGAATGATTAATTCTTTTGTTATCTGAAAATTTTGTTATACATAAATTTTTATTATATTTAAATCTTAAAATGCATAATTTTAAAAAATAGCATAAAATAAACTTTTAACCTTGATATCTTGTCATGTTCCAATGAATTTCGTTTCACCTTAAAAGAATTCACTGATGTGTAACTTTTCTTCTTGATTTAAGGTCAAATTTGATGTAGGAAATTCCAAGCAATCAGCAGATAGTTTTACAATGGGAATGAGCCAAGTATTTGTCTACAAAGAAGAGAAGAATCTTTACACAAAAAGACAAAAAGATAAACATGCATAAGTTTTGCACAAAAAATCACACAAAGGTTTTCATTTAAAAGATATTGTTCAATGTCTAACTTGAATCTAAACTTTTTAAATGATAATGACATTATGCATATTAAATTTGAATGATGCTGGCATTTGCTTATCAAGGATGTAAAAATGTAAAATTTTTTTAGTTTAGTGCTTATTATGTGGCATTCTTAGTATTAAATCTCCTTCAATGACTGTTAATTTAACAGCATGGTACATATGGCATGCATGAATGTGAACTTATGCATGCATCTCTAATAGATGTATGATGTATGTGGGTAGA